ATTGTACTTAAATGGTCTCCACAGTAAACAGATGTGTAACGGAGCAATTTTGGGATGTATCAGATGTGCTGCAACCGTGTGATGTACCACCTTTCCAGCACCTTGCATGAATAGTTAGAGGCTCTGAGGGCAAACAGGGTCCCACCCAATATTAGCAGGGTGTTCCTAATAAAGTGAACTGTGCTCTACAAGTGCACAATTTGAATGTGAAGGTAGCAGACAGGTGTGTTACCGGCTCCACGACGATGGTGACGGACAGGTCATCCTCAGGCACATCACTGTGATCCCTCTCACAGCCGAACCCCTCCGCCCGGGTCATGGTCGCCTCATCTTCTGCACTTCCTGTGATAAAAAAGCACAAACATCAAAGCTGATTCAGTTCACTCAGTTTATTTATAATTGTGTTTGCTTGTTGGGTTTGATGTCCTGTGATCGTTACCTTCAGGGAACTTGTAGGTGTTTGTGATGTTGGTCTGTTGTTGTGAGCCCACAGCTTTGGTTAAAATCTTCTCTCCAATGTACGTCTTGTCCACTCTGAAGGGAGACAGATTCCCGTACTTATCTCTCTTCAGGAAGACCACGTCACTGTTCACCTGGAGGAAACGATTTCAAGATATTGTGAAACTCTGTGCCGATAAGATATCGTCCCATTGGTTTTTATGCTTCGCTAACCTCAGCGAACACAAAGCCGCAGTCAAACGGGTAACACACGCGACCCTCCTTAATGGCAATGACCGGTGCTGGACCACAGCGGAAAAAGCCTACGAACAAGCACAGACCTGTTAACTCTCTGTTTAACGGTTGTTTCTTAATCTGCGCGCTCATCTGTTTGTCTCACCGTCACTGGTCTCCTGAGGCGTGGAGTCAACCACCTGCCATCCTTCCAGCCCGGGTGGCAAATCAGGACGCTTAATCATCACCTCGTTCCAGCAGTGGTAGTTCCTGCAGAGAGAGGCAGTGTAGCTAGTGCACTCCCAACGCTGGTTGAGTTCAAACACATGGGAGGGTTTCATGAGAAAGGGTGTCTAGCACTGAAGCCTTTCCCAAACCAAGCTCACAGGAACATTGTAATCATGATACGGTACCAGATGGAGTCCCTGGTGTTGCGTCTGTCTGGGGTGCCATCAGCATTGAAGAGGATGTCAGTCTTCAGGTTGCCCGTGTTGTCATGAGCTGAATTGTAGTTGGTGATGACCCTTGCTGGGATGCCAAGGCATCTGAGGACTGCAAGGATGTGAAATATATAAAAGCTGTTTATTCAGGTTTTTGTTCCTGCAGAATTTCAATCAGTGCCTTGAATGGGCCACAGCCCAATTGGATCTGTGGTGCAGAATAATAAAATGGTTGCATAATCAATATTATTGTACAGTAGATCAGTACAAGTAAACTCTAAAATGTAATGAGCCAAACACTTGTGTAATTACACATGCATGACAGTTCACTTAGTTTGAGTCTTTCTATGAAGGTGTTATGTGGTCACTGTAGTCATGTTGGGTGTCTTTGAGAGTTTTTGTTGCTGTTGTCATTGTTTTAGATCTTTTTGATGGTTGGCTAAACAGCAGGGTTATTAAATATGAAGGTGAAAAAGTTGCCGACCAACATTTCTGATTCCTCACAACTTCAAGTACAGGAGAGATCCAGGTGAAATTTTGGGGAGGAATCATAGCAAGAGGAGCCTTCTGTCAATATTTAGGTTTAAAGAAAACCTTCCAAATAACTTTTCTGAGATGGGTAAACAGCTGCCCATCTGATATGATGAAAACATTTAAAAGGTAGAGCGTGTAAAAATTTTCACTGCTGCATATCGGTACGCTGAGTTTGGTTTTCTTACTCCTCACAAAAGCAGTGCGTAATCCAAGCAACGGTTGCTGCTATAGGACAAACATGTTTTAGTCAGCCAAGAGCAATCAAAACCATCACAATTAGACTGTTCCCCAGAGTGTTTCTGTTGTTTGAACTGGAGCCCCCTGGAGTTTTTCCCAATCTGTGGAAGGCTGTAGGTCCAGTGTTAACCTCAGTCACTGAATCTCACTGACTGATGACAATAATAGTAAAGTGAGTTGTTGGTAAGAGCCACCATTTTTGGCACTGTTAGCCTCTGTTAGCCTCTGTTAGCAGCTGTTACCCTCTCTTAGCAGCTGTTAGCCTCTGTTAGCAGCTGTTAGCCTCTGTTAGCCTCTGTTAGCTCCTGTTAGTCAAAAGTTAATTAAACTTTGTTTGAAGTGGATGCAATTTTGTTGGACTCCAATACTTAGTGAATAAACTCTCATAAAAGCTGTTAATGTTATCAAACTATTTATCGAAGGAAAGTGTTATTGTTAGGATGCTTGAGCCTAACGCTAGCTAGCGTAATTTTAGCTTATAGCTAGCTGTAGTTGTTTAGCCAGCACTTGTCAGCTATCCGGAGACGGGAGGGTCACATGTTCAATTTGCTGACAATAAGTAATTGTGATAATATCAGGAATAAATGAGCATGTTTATGCATGTTTTTGTTTTTAGAGCCCTGACTTCAGTCGAAGAAATGAATGAAATTTTATTGCGATGTGGGTGGCGTTGTTCTCGTCATTTGCATTTTTGCTTCTTTGATAAACGGGACTCTCAGATGATGCAAACAACTTCACCTCTCCTCTGCCTTTGGCACACTATATATATGTAAAGTCAGAAGGGAGATGTTCTCCTCGGCTCCTCTATTTAAATATGATGGAGTAACTTGTTCCTGTGTAATTTTAAAATATTGCTTATCAGTTCATAAGAATGCATATTTAGCTTCCTCTAAGAATCATTTTCTTACTAAATTACATTAAAAAATTACTGAGTGTTCCTCTAATGTTTATTGTATTGAAAAATCGCTTTCTTGGAGCAATTGTAAAATTGATTTGCTTGCATTTTTTAATAGTATTTAAATGTGTTTTTCAGCCCTGAAATGTAACGAAAGCTCCTGAACCTATGAAGTTATGAAGCTTATAAAATTACTGGAAAAATAAGAAAAAAGTACCCAATATGTTCCTAAACCTATGTAGTTTGAGGGCCTGTAAGTTTGAAAGTACTCACAGAATTAAGGTAACATTTTATGCTAAAGTTACTGCAGTTAAAAGTCAGCTGATTCTGAGGAGGTGAGGTGGGATGAAGTAAACAGAGCACATGCTTACAGGTGTTGAAGACTCCAGCGTACACCCAGCACTGAGCGAAACAGACCGGGACTCCGGTGTTGGCGTACTGCAGCAGGATTTTGGTGCTGCCAGTCCAAGACGTCGGGGGTTTGCCCATGGAATAGTCATTGCTCCAGTTCCCAACCATCACACCGTTGTCATCCTGAGAGTTCATCTGCAGGAGCGGGCAGGTCAAAGGTCAGCAAAAAATAACCGACTTCTCTTTTTTAAGGAATTCAACCTCTCATCTCTGGTGTGGTACCCCACAAGGTCCTGCTGTCGCACCTTTCATTGAGCGGTTGTACCCTACAGCAGCCGGTCTTGTACAATAAAAACGTTCACCAGTGACTTCTTTATGTTCTGTTGATGTTGGGCCAAAACAAAAGGCAACCGACCTGATTTGAAAGGTAATAATATGCGTGTTTAGCATGTTAACCTGCCTAAACCCATTTGTTCTTCTTGACCTTGTGCTATTTAAGAGCTTAATGTACTGTATGAGACTGGAGCAGGGGACCCAGAGAAAACCCACCAGGCAAGGGGAAAACAAAACCCTGTTGAAACCCAGAACCTGCTTGCATCAAGGCAACGACAAAGTCTTAAAATCAAGACATTAGATTGAATATTTCACCCTATTTCTTTTAGTGTTTGGTCAAACATTGACTGTCCTGAAAGTGCACCTTAAATCTAGAAGATAGGCTGAAACTGCATTTTGATCTAAGAAAAAATGCAAATAGTTAACTTGAGGACATTTCCCCATTGCTATGACTATGGTGACACAGTTAATCAATACTCAAGCTCTGTATTCTCACCATGGCAGATCCCACCCTGACCAGCTTGACCACGTTGCCCCGGTCGTAGATTGGCATCTGAGACGCATCCAGAACGAAGATACAGGCGTCCAAAATGCCGCGCTCAAACTGCAGAGAGTGCATTTTAATTAATTATAAGCCGATAAATTAATCAAGAAATTGCTTTATTGTTTTTATGTGATCAAGTATTTGTACTTACCTGCCCAAATGTCCATGGACGCTCTACCACAGCGCTAGATGAACCCAGGTAGAGCATCCCTTCATCATTAAGGACGTACTCCTGTCTTTCTACTTCATTAGGAAGAAACACGTGATCGTCTGCAAACAGAAACGCTTTGCTGTAAGAACTTTCATTTGTCCATTTGTAAATGTCAGTCAAACACAGAGACTTAGAGTTCATTATCATCTACATCTACAGAAAAATACAACGGTGTGTCATCTGCATAACTATGGTAACAAATGCTGTGCTGTCTTATAAGGTTTCTAAGCAGCAGCATAAGAAGAAATGTAAGGGATCGAGACGCCTGCCTTGTGGAACTCCACAGAAACCTCTCTGATCTCCAATCACAGATGATCAACAACCCACTGTTCCTGCTGGTGAATGTAGATTTTATGATCTGTCGTATTGAAGGCCTCATTCAGTCTCTAAAATGTTCTATAACCAGACTGTAACTTACCACTGTTTCCATCTTTCTTTAAGAAACCACTACACTTGTACAAATATTACAGGAGGTTGGATATTTGTCTGTAATCAGTATATTTGTAGTTTAACTAAGGACATTTTAAAGCTGAGGGAAATTTTCTCAAGTAATGGATCAGTGATCATCGTGACAGGCTTGACGATAAATTATAAACGTAAACAAGGTCATCAGTGCGAACAGTGGGATCTGAGATATGCTTTTGCCTGATGAGGGGAATCGATTGGTTGAAAAAGAGGTATGATGGACCTCTGACGAACTCTGGAAGAGCGATGACAGATATTCCACACCTTCAATATTATAAAGGGTCACTTTTGTATAACTATGAGATGTATGAAAAATTATGCAATGGATTTTACATATCTGAAAAAAAAAAAAAGTATGTCATTTATCTTTGGCAGACTGAGGTGCAGATGAAGCTGCACTGATTCTCATCATAATTGTACTTTTACTCTACCAGCAGGGGGCAGTAAGCGCAGAGGAAATGGTACCTGGACACCAGGCGTTGAAGAGCAGGTACATGTCAGTGGTGGGGTCCCTCTTGGTGCGCTGCATGCCCCTGCCAGTGGAGATGGCCACGTACACTTGAAACTTCCCCACAATGGCGGCGGCATCTGGTGTGATGCCGAACATCACAGATGCACCCTGAGATTGCAGAATCCGGCCTGACCACGAACTGCTGCCACGGTTACCGAAGGTCACCATCACCAGGGAGCCCTTATTGGGCGAAGGATCGGAGCCTGATGGAAGAGTTATTTTTTAATTCTTTATTTATCCAAGAGAGGCGTGGCATCATTTCTCATTGTAATAAGAAAAATGGGATGTTTTTACGTTACAAAAACACATTTTTAGGAGTTGGTTATTTCTACCTTACATCAATAAAAATAAACACATAAAATCCTGGTCAGACAGGTTACATTTTTATATTTTAAAGACTTCAGTTTGTGTATTTGAGGCCAGATGTGTGTGAACATCTGTCAGCTCTGCAGTTGTGTGTTCAACATGGAGTGTTTCCTAATGGCCGGGCCGTGGGGAGAGCTGTGCACTAATTAAGCAGCCAAACGAATGTGAAGCTGCTTAATGAACTGACGGCCGTCTGATTGCTCAGTGGGCGGCTGTTAACGAGCGTCTCTTCATCAGCTAATTGGTTAATGAGGGAGCACCCCCCCCACACACACGTGTCAGTTTAGAGAAAAATGTTAATTAGCAACACTCAGACCAGGCAGAGGAACAAAATTAAAAAAAATGACCTGAGATACTAAAAACTGTGTGTGAACAAAATCCGGGTATTTTAACAAGTTACTGATTGCTGTTAGTGCTCAGGTAGGTCGAGCAGGTGGGGAGGAAACCTCAAACAGTTCACTGTTCACTAAACTGGAAAAAGACGATAAGCTGCCATCATACAATTTAAGGCAAACTATAATCCCAACGATACCAAAACAAAGCCCCACTCGTCTTTGAGGATTCTCTGAAATATGGCCGTTTCATTTATGGGCTGATATTGGGAGGAGGGGTCTCACAACAACGAATCATGCCAGCGTGAAAAGACACCAAATGTTTAAAAATTAAG